GACCCCCTCTCCCCGCGCAGCTCTCTCGGGCTGCGAGCGGACTCCCCGAGACAAGAGCAGCGGAATCCTGCAGCCGCTGCCTGTGCCTGCGCCAGGCTGGGCGAGGGCTTCACTCCCGGTCTGCGCGCGTGGTGTGGGGATGGACTGGAACATGCACAAGTGTGTGTGTGTGCGCGCCTCTGGTGGTGTTATTCGGTGTGTCGGGGGGAAGGAGGGAGAGCATGTGCGGGTTGCATTTACAGGATCCAGGGGAACCTCTGCTTCACACGCGGTCAGAGCCTGCAGGAGCAGCCTCCTGAAGTAGGAAGGGAGAAATCCTGGAGACAGACACAGAGACTGAGGGGAAGACACACACACCCCGAGAGCGAAACGTGCTACACACGACAGAGGCGAAATACAGTAGAGCGGAAATGAAAACCTGGAGTGGATCCCCATGCAGGGGAGACGGGAAGGGAAAGGACGCCATGCAATAATCCTCTCCCCTTACCACAGCTGCTTCACCTCATCCCTACCCCAAGACTGCAAATCACTCCCCCTCCCCCATAGATATTTCAAAAAATGACATGAGAAATAATACATAACACATTATTTTGCCCAAATTCATACCTGCTGCAAGTTTTGATTTCTGTGGGTCTGCCTGGGTTGAATATGGCCCAAAGGTTAAATTCATATTAAGCTAACCTTTAAAAATACCTCCTGCTCAATGCAGACTTGAGGTAGATGGGTGCTACTTCATTCTCTTCAAAAGTATCAGAGACACTTACAATAGATCTGAATTTGGCCCGTGATATATTTTGTGATATGGACAGAGGTGTGGAGAGAGATGGGAATAAGTGAGAGGCTAGAAATCATCCTCTAAGAGCAAGGAAAGAAAGAACACCTTAAGCTAAAAGCCTAAACTTCATGGTGTGGGAAAAGAGAACCATCAACCTAAGGAACTCAACCCCAGGACTGGGTATGAGAGAACCATAATCCCTACCTAACACAATAGCAGCTAGAGTGGATGCAGAAGGAATCTCCTGCCAGGCCAATCTAATCTCTGGGAGAAAAACACTGCTATGATTTCTATGATTACTCCCAAACATGCCCCCTTAAAAAAAAGTTGTGAAGTTTATTGCTGTAACGTCAAGCTCATCATTACCCACATTCCACAGTTTGGGAACTCCTGTTCTACAATACTGTGGTATTTCCATCAACATACCCAGAGAACAAACCCTCAAGCTAAGGAAAAGGGAAGACAGGGCCACATGCCTGCAGCCCACTCTGAAGTTCTGAATACTGGGGAGAGTACTCTGACAACACAACACTTCTTAAGAGTATGTCTACACTGTGGTGCTATTTTGGGATACTTCCGTGTACTATTCCGCGTCTTGACAGCACAAATATCTTTCAAAATAATGGGTGCACGATTCTCACATCCTTGTAAACCTCAGTCCAAGAGGATTAAGGGACATTTCTGGGGATTAAGGGACATTACAAAATAAGCTATTTTGAAATACACTTGAAATAAGCTACGCAGTTTGCATAGCTCAAATTGCGTAGCTTATTTCAAGTTAAGGGTGCAGTGTACACTGACCCTTACAGAAATAGGAAACTACCTGCTTAACAATGCTATACAGTGTTAAAATTATCTTGTCTACAATAGGCTGCTAACAAGTATAAACTAACACCTTCCACATCCTAGTCTAGACAAGTTATATATGTATGAATGGCCTGACAGGTCTCAAATGTCACAGTTCAGAAAAAGGACAAAGGCAAAATTCATGAGGGAGTCACAAATATTACAACACCCTTTCCTCCACCCAAACAGATTCCCTTCCTGATTGCTCAATTTCTTTTTTACAGGATAGTGAAATTGCCATCAACATGCCAAATAGAACTTGCTTCCCCTCAGTCTAATATCCTTGAATTCTTCTTCAGCCCAAAATAGATATATATTTGAACCAAATGTTTAAAAAATACAAAGAAAAAATTTGCAGTAAAATTGTTTAAAAATGCAGAATTATGGACAGCACTATAATCAGTTTCTGTGACAGCTTGACTCAAGCATACGCTTAACTAAACATAGGTAATGCTTTAACATAGATCACTGCTAATAATAATGAATATGCAAAGCAGCTGTAAGTCGAAGTTCACCATGATCTTATTTTATTTCAAATGTTAATAACGGCAAACAAAATGTGTTAATTCAACAAACTACTTTCAATATTTTGATTTTAATTAAACTTTTCCTGCTGTTGTGCCACATGATTTCATTAAGTTTATTTGTAATTTTTATATCAAAATGGGTTAAAATAAATTGATATGGGCTCCAGGACGGAGATTGGGTGCAGGAGGGGGACTGGGTGCAAGTTCTGGGATGAAGTTTGGTGTTGGGTACATGCTAGGGTAGAGGATTGGAGTGCAGGAGGGGGTGAGGAGTCAGGCTTTGGGAAGTAAAGTGGGTGTGGTGGAGGGGTCTATAGTTTAGGCTCTTGGAGGGAGTTTGGGGGCAGGAGAGGGTGGGGGTTCAGGCTCTGGGAGAGGGTAGGCTGCAGGAGGAAGTGCAAGGGGGACAGGAGTACAGCAGTTACATGGGACACCCCCTTCTGGGAGCAGCTTCTAGGTGGTGGAGCAGAGGCTTCCTTCATGCCACTTCCCACAGCCATCCCCCCACAGGCACTGCTCTAGCAGCTTCCCATTGGCCACACAGGCACTCAGGGAAAAGGCAGAGTGTGGTGAAAGACCCATATCCTGGGGCCATACCGATGTGTCAGCAGCCGTATAACGAGAGCAGCCAGAAGCTGCTTTAGCCTCCCTCCACTGCTGGCGGTGGGAACAAGGTCCCCCAGGCCTTTTAAAATAATCTAGGGACAGCAGGTGGACCAGGGGACACACTGGAGAGCATACAAAGGCAGCAGGCAAGTCTGGGGAAGAGACCCAGCTACAAACTTTGCTGAAGCCAGGTCCCAAGCCAGGAATATTCCTAGAGCCTGGGTACTATGGGTGCATAAACCTCACTGCGTATGCCAGTATGTAGTTTGTGGCCTCCCCTTCTTTAGAGAACTGTTGTACACTGTATGATAAATAAATCCTGGTCACCAACTTCTGCCCCAATGAGAAGCTGACCTTTAAGGCCCAGAAATCTGCTATTGCTCAGCAAAGGGGCAACATTATTTTAAATGGAATTGTATTATTGATTTGATGAATCCATTGACTAGCTTCTACTGAATGCCTAAAAAAGCACTTATATACCAGGTAGTATGAACAGGGCCTGCTACTTTAGCTTTTGATATTGTGCTCATCATTCTGTTACCTCAGCATACCAGAAGTTTATTGAAGTAAGTGCATGATCTCTCTTTCTATCACACCTCACCTCATCTTGTAGGGAGAGAGTTTTGGGGTCATTTGTTTTCTTTTCTTTTTACATGTGATTATTGAGAGAACATGAAAGCAAATACACTGCTTTTCCATTTTTGCAAAGTTCATTATCATCCTGTTCACTCCCAGAAGCAGTCTATGGCAATAGGACAACTACAGAGAAAACTCTATTTGCTGTGTACATAGATTTTTTTTCTGACTGACACTTCCATTTTTCCAGAGGGATATAGCAGCTGTAGGGCCATGACCACACCGGAAGAAGTTCCCTAATGTAACATAATAGGCATTTGCACACACTGCAGAATCAAGCCCAAGAAAACAGACTTAGACAACAGCAAAATCTACAGCATAACAAATCACACCACAGTTTCATTTCTTCTATGGACATTTTCAGAGATGGAGGGTGAAAATCACTCCTTTAATATGCTCATATGCTGTGTTAGAGGTTGCATGGAGGATTTATTTGGATTTATTTCTAGGTTACTGGAATGAGTGGAAAAGGGGTTTATAACTGGGAATACAATGTTAATTATAAGCTGCAATAGTTGTTTGTAAATTAATCAAAATTGTCAGTTCATTGTATGAAGCTGTAAAAAACAATGTGGAGAATCATCGTGACACGGCCTAGAGTGGCCAATTTTTTGATGACTTTTATATTAAAACAGTATTTATGATGGTTTTCTGAAACAATTTAGAAATGTACTAAAAAATGCAAGGACATTATCAAAAATTGTGCTCCTATGTGCAATCCCTAAAATATATCACTAAAAGCTAATGCATTTTTAAATGTTGAACAGTTTGGGCAAAATTCCACACAAGATCTATTTTTAAATCCATACAGATCTTCGTATGACTAACAAATGTTGAAGATACCATAATACCATAGTATCAGGTGCTCTTATTTTTTGTTTGTGTAACCACTCTCTTCTAGACACCTAGTTCCCTGTTCAGACAAATGCTAGAAAATTAATGTGATATTATACAAGACCTCTCTGAGTACTGCAGGAGGATCAGTTTCCCTTAGGAATAAATATAAACATTGGTATGCTTTCCAGAATGTGTACAATAATGAATATGCTGTACAGTATATAATCTGGTTTGATGTAAATTCTTTTCTACCTTGTTTCCCAAGCAAAGAAGATTACTGCAAAGATTCCTAAAAACAGCTAAGTGCTTTGTTTTATCCTTCTTAGTTTCCTCCACCATGTTACAGACTCTACCACCTTAAAAGCCTGAGCATTTTTTAAAAAATCATGCTTTCAAGCATTTTGTAGCTATAAAGCAAAAAAGGAAAAGAGGTAATTAACTTCCTTACACAGGATATATTGTAATACATTGAGGCTTTGTCTACACTGCAGGGTTTTTGTGGAAGAGTTCTTGTGCAAAAACTTCTTGCGCAAAAGCACGTCCATACCTTAAAAGCGCATCTCAAAAGCGATGTGCTTTTGCGCAAGAGAGCATCCACACTGAGGCTATGTCTAGACTGCAAGCCTCTTTCGAAAGAGAGCGTCTAGACTGCACGTTGAACTTTCGAAAAAGCGGCTTGCTTTTTCGAAAGAAAGCATCCAGT